GTAGTTTTTAAAATTATAATTTATACTTTTTATTGATTTACCGATTTGTATTAAAACAAATCATTTTAAAAACAATGGAATTTGCAAGTTGTTCAAAATGAGAAGAAAAAAAAGGAGCGGATGCAGTTATTATGAAATTTTAATGTTCTTGTTTTAATTTATTTATTTTATAAAATTGAAATGCTCCATTTTGTCTCGAAATGTAGTTTATGCTATGTCTTTACAAAATAAAAAAGGAGAAATAGATAACTAATATTAGAATATGCTACATGTATTAAAATTTAAAATAGGATTCCACTTTTTTTAAACAAAAATAAGACTTATAATGCGATAACTTAATGTTAAAATTCTGTGATCTAAGTTTTAGTATAAATTTTATATTTTATTGGTATTTAGAAGATAAATTCTTTTGTAGTACTTAGTTACTTGCTCATTTTATATATATAAACTTTCATCCGTATATTGATTTTATGTAATGAGCCTTGTAAAATTTAGAAGATCCAACTATGAGCCAAAGGAAAATATGTGAGAACGTTTGATTTTATGTAATGACCCTTGTAAAATTTAGAAGATCCAACTATGAGCCAAAGGAAAATATGTGAGAACTTGTGATTTTATGTAATGAGCCTTGTAAAATTTAGAAGATCCAACTATGAGTAAAAAGGAAATATGTGAGAACGTCTATGTTTTACATGTGAACTTTAGGACTACAACAACACAATTCTATTTAGAAAAAAATCATTTTTCTTTTTACAAAAAGAGTATATGGTCTAAAAGAATGATCATTTTGTTTTTTTAAATATTTATTTTTAGATCTTGGATTATTGTCATTATTTTCCTAAAATAAGTAGTTAGTTGAATTAAACTATGATGTACAGAGTATATACACATTTAAGCAGGACATGGACATGATATAATACTTGTGCGGCATTCATGTTGCCAACACACACTCCCAATCTTTCCTAATATGTCCATTACAACAAAATGGTTAAAGTTTGGTGTAATTTTGGGTCTCGTTATGCTTTGTCGCCTTGTCGATGGTAGCAAATGGGACAAATTAACATTTGTAATGTGCTCTTTAAACAAAATAAAAATGCTAACCAATTGCTCTAGAGATAGAATTTTATAGTATATGAAATCTATCTAAAAAACAAATCATGAATGTTATACTAAATCATGACCTCCTATGATTTATCTGTTAAACAAGACTACCTCATAACCAATTTCGGTGATCAATTAAATTAAGGTAGTGTTTGGGAATTAGAATTCATTTGAAATCTTAGATTTCAATTCTAACCATTGAAATTCCATAATTTCAAATCTCAAATGTTGGTTGGGAAGCCATAGAATTTCAATTCTAGAATTTGAATTTTGAAGCCAGTAAAGACGGGAACGAAAGCGGGTTGATATGTATGAAATGGGAGAAGTGGGAGAAGCGGAATCTATACGAATGAATTGGCTATCCGTGGCTTCAGTAGCCCCTGTGCTTGGGGAAGCCTAGCAAAGATTTCAATTGACCTCTCCTCATTATTGAAATTGGGATCTAAGGATTTTATTCTCTTGAAACAACTATCATACCAAGCTTAAGTGAATTGAAGTTAGTTTTACTCCAAACTATAAAAGTACAAACAGACACGCATCAAACAACTATTGAAAACTAAACCATAGCAATGAGCGTTGTACAAGGCGCATGCGTTGGGAGTAACTCATTCTTCTTTGCAAGAATTACTGGAGTCAGATAATGCGTAGGAGGATTTAAAACGCATTATAAGATCTTCAAAGTTTAGCCCATGCTTAACTCAAGACGCTACTACTTGATGCATTTGGTTTGGGATTGCTATCGCACATTACTTTGAGATTCATTACTGAAGAGTGTCCTTATAAGAATATTTTTATCTTCACTCATCGTTCATTTGGAAACTTTTGAACTCTCATTTCAGTTCGATACTATTTTACTCAACCATACTAAAATTCGCTTCAAAATATCAACACAAAGTAAAGAACTTTTGTCCTTTTGAATTATACACACAATACAGTACAGAACACCAAATGCAAAGGAGGAGGGAGAGGATGGTACAAAACATGTCATTTCAGAAAACATTTAGGCTCATCCAACAATTGAGAGAAGTTACTTGGAATAAAGATAATATCTTGGAGAAGAACATGAAACTGTTAGAAGGAACCATATCTGAAATCAAGACTCACTTATGATTTATGAAGAACTGATCCGACAACAGCCTCGGCTTCTTCCTTTACTCGCTCGAACACGTTTGGCCCCTTAACTTCATCAACAGGCGTGTTCTTATCAATTTCATCGCTCCTTCCATGTGTTTCCTTGTCATGATGAACCTCTTCCTTACCTCTCTCATTCACCTTGCTGCATTTTTCTTCTTTACCACCCACATTTGCTACAAATAGAAGGTGAATTGTCAATTTTTCAACCTTAGAATTTATGTACATGCTTTCTTTTACCAAATAAATACATAAAAACTGCATAAAAATTAAATCTTTATCAAATCTAGGGGAGAATACACACACTTTTTTGTTGATCTTTCTTATCCACACAATAACATCAAGGGAAAACCCTTTGCATATTGATAGTTTGATCCTCCCGTTTACATCTGAGTCAGTCCCAATTTACCCATCAGAAACAATATGTGAATAAATAAGTTATTTACCAAATTTATGAACTGCAAACAGATTAAACTTCTACAACTGTGTAAAACACAAATCAATTGGATTAAACATCTATAACATCAAGTGCAGAAGAAACCCCAATTTCTTAAATTTTCTTTTTTATTGTATTGGATCGTCATCTATGCAAGTTGATTGAATACGGTGGGTGATCAAAGATCCAAACCTTGAATCATACAGGCATTTATGAAAAGCTTCTCAGAGAATATAGATGAAGATGAAAAACCAGTACCTGAAGCTGGTGCAGATTCCGCCATGAGAGAGATGAATGAATGATGCGAATTGCGTTAGTCCTAATTTGTTTGGATGGCAAATCGCAAAAGAGCAAACGGGGGAAATTAGGTGTGAGCAAGTACCAACAAATACCAAAATTTCCCGAAAAAACCGAGAATACCAAAAAATACCGAATCGAAAAAATACCAAGAAGGGATCGAACCATACCGAACCGAATGGTCGGTACGGTATTTATTAATGGTACGAGGGGACGTCCCATACCGAAAATCCCGAACCGGAATAGAACTTACATTACCAAACATGGTCATATACATTACCAAAAAAGTATAGTAATTTACACATGTACACTGCCACATTACCACAATGCAAAGTTACATTACCACAGTGCAAAGTCTTATTCTGGGAAAAAAATATGAAAGTCCTATTTTGGTACTTTTCTCTATGTTTTAGTCCTATTTAGGATGATTTCTAAAATTTGAAATACTCCTTTATTGTCGTTCATTTTTTTAGTTTGTGAAATATAACTAAGTTTTGATACGCATCTCTTACATTTAAATATTCATTTTTTTTAATTTTTCATGTTTTTTTATTTAAATTCACTTTTTAATTTTAAAAAATAAAGGGGCATTGTTAAATTTTATCGTCTAAAGTAAGTATGTATATTCATCCCGATTTGTACCTAAACTGATACCGAACCATCCCAAACCATAACGAACCGATATTTCGGGACCGGGATCGGTACGGGGTAAAATCGCATACCGAACCGAAATACTTGGTACGATATCGATACGAGCTAAATACCGTACCATACCGTACCATGCTCACCCCTAGGGAGAATGATATAAAAACAGGAGTTTGTTTGTTATTTCTAAAATCGGTATTATAATATTACTCCGGTAATAATGTTAACCTATAATACCAATAGATATTATAAAATGACAATAAAAAGTGCCTTAGAAAAAATCATGAATTTAGAAAATTGAATTGAAAATTATATCCGGTATAAAATTCAGCTAAAGATTTTTACTAAAAAGCACGGAATATTACTTTAGCACAAATTTAAATGAATTTTTAGTAATCTAGTTATTCGATAAAGTTTCTAAAAATATTTTAAGGGCTTTACACATTGTAATTTTGAGTAAAAAATAAAATAATCATGTACAGAGTAAGTAATTTAAAAATACGATTGAATTAGCTTAAAGAATATAAGGTGGACTAAAAAATAAAATTTATAAATTTTCAAGGATCAAAATAAATATTTAACTTGGGGGAGGACTGTTTACAAAAATAATAGTTTTATAAGGACTATTTAATTAAAAAATACTCCGTATTTTTAAAAGCCCAAAACAAAACTCTTTAATTTTACACGGACTATAAAACATATTAACTCTTATTCTAATTGAGTCAAGAGCTGATTGTCTTATACAGCTACAATAAGTCTATAGTCATACCAAATTTAATCTTGAACACCGTAGAGAGACAATGTCAGTGAAAGTGAGTGGGCATGAAAACATACTGCTAATTATTATATCAAAAACATAATATATTAGCGCATTACTTTATTTAAAATTTTATTTTTAAATTATCTAGAAATTGTTATCTATGCAGATTGGGTTGGCCCAAAGCCCGTGGGTACCTATGCGGGTCGGGATTCAATTGTTAGGTTCATTATATGGGCTTATTCATGGTTTCAACATAATAAATTCTCGTAAAGTTGTATTTGGGTCAGGCCCGAAACCCAACTTGGCTCGTTATATGGGCTCGGTCGAGGTACAAACACTTAATTGACTCATGAGTGTTCTTGGAGAGTGTTCAAAGTGAGTTTTAAATTTCTTTACCTCCTCATTTTTTGACTAGCAACTACTCGTATTTTTTTGGCCAAAAGATAAAAAAGATAAACCACATTCTTGAAATTCATCAAATAATTAAATTTACAAAAGTCCTACTCTCTATGTTTTACTACCTCCGTCCCAGAGTATTTGTCCACTTTCATTTTTACACACCATCCAATACACTTCTTTAATCCATTTTATCTTGTAATTTGTATATTAAAAAATTATAGAAATTATATATTAATAATCTATATGTTAAGACAAATCAAACAAGATCACACATGACTATATTTAGGCTTACACATTGAGAGAATTTGATGAGTCAAAGTGCTTAGATGAACAGTTCCAAAAGTCAAAATTGGACGAATACTTTGGTTTGGTAAGGAGGGAGTATAGCAACGCCCCCGGCAAGAAGAAATGAAAAAGGGAAGGAAATCCTAAGGGTGGGTAAAATCACTAGTGGAGCTGTAGAGGAGTAATGAGAGTTTAATGTACTATCCGTTACTCGATTCTTAAGCTTTCTTTAAAGTTTTCGAATTTCGAAATTTAAACCATTCAAATGCCCGACGCCTCCCCTCTTCTACCTCAAATCAGCTTATTCCCGTTTCTGTCCGAGAACAAAGGTTCCCTCTTCAGCAATGGGCGGTTCAGGGACGTGGATCAAGTCGCTTATCTCCCACAAGAAAACCCAATCCAACAACGTAAGATCCCAAATTCAAATTTTCACCTGTCTCAGCTACTTTCTGTTTTTTTTTTTTTAATTTTCTTGTCAAGAAAGAAATGATTTTTTTGCTGGGTTGTGCTAATCTTTATGAGGTTTGCAGGAGGGGGGTGGAAAGAACATGAAATGGAAGCTATGGAGGAGCGCTTCGGGTGGATTAGTGACGTCTTCTGCAAAGCGAGGGAAGGGGAGGAAAGATCTCGGAGATTCCGAGGAATCTGAATCTTCTTTCATGTCTGATGGAGCTTTTGCTGCTGCCATGGCTACTCTGGTCAGAGCACCACACAAGAACTTCTTGATGGTCAAGCAAGAATGGGCTGCCGTCCGTATCCAAACCTTTTTTCGGGCTTTTCTGGTACTGATTCTTGTGCTGAATAAATAATTTACTTCTCACTTGGTTTTATATTAGCAGTATTCACATTTTGTTTGGCATTAAGTTGGAAAGTGAAGAAAATATTCTAAAAGATTGATCTTTTCTCAAAACAGGAAATGAGAAGGCTAATTTGAAACAAATCCCAAGTAAATTAGAAACACTAATATGAAATTGAGAGATTAGTACTAACTCATTTAGGTCCTCTTTGGAACCCTGAAAGTTATAGGAGAAGATAACAGGAAAGAAAATATAGAGAAAATTGGGGCAGATAATAAAAGATAAGGCATAAGGATAATTAATGGCTTAGCCAGTGAATTTAAAAGTTATACTAGGGAGTCAAGGTTTCAAATTTAAACATGGAATTTAAGTGTATGTGTTTCTGTGTACTACTCCATAAATTTTTAATGGGATTGCTCCACCTGTGACTAAGAAACCATTTGGTAATATGTATTTGGCTTAAAACCTTAAATGGCTGAATCTTCTGCATTTTGGTTTTGTTAAAATCCAAAACCTACTTATTTTGCTACCAAACCTACTTTTTTATGTTTTAAGACTCATTTTATTTGTTTAATTATGTCTATTAAATGAAGTCTAACTGATCTTAATTTATGTCTATTCTTTTACATTGCGTTTTTTTTTTTTGGAAAAACCAAACATTAGAAAATAATTCTTATCATATTGTTTCCTTGGCATTTTCTGGGATACAAGCATGAAACATCCTATTGGGTTCCTTGTTTTGCCAACTCAGAAAATTCTATGGATGAAAAGTAGAGAGGAAAATATGATGGAGATATGGAATAAATAAATATGTGAGAAAATAAAACACTTGCTCAAACCTCAATAGATTTATTTTTGGATATCTTTTTAACTTATTTCATTTATCAGTTTGTTTAGATAAAAAACTAAGCAATCTAAAAATGTACTCATTGAAAAACATGAACCACACACACTCCTTATTCCATAGACCTTGCCCAAAGTTTTCATCTTTGGACGCTTTAGATTCATCTTTCAGTTTTCCTATAGCTAAATTTAAAAGCTCAGCACTAAAAAGAAGATTCTTGAAATGACAATGGAAGGCAAAGCGAGCATTGAGGGCTTTGAAAGCAGTTGTAAGGATACAAGCCATATTCCGTGGTAGGCTGGTGAGGAAGCAAGCTGCGGTGACACTAAGGTGTATGCAGGCTCTTGTTCGCGTTCAAGCTCGACTAAGATCTCAATGTGGCCATTCACCTCTTCCTACTTCTGTTCATCCGATCAAGCAGGCTGAGGTAATAACTATTTGATCTCTTTTACTAATGTGCACTCTCAGTAATTATGTTATGTACACAGTATTATAACACTTGGGTATTGCAGAAAGGTTGGTGCATTCGCCATGGAACAGTAGAGGAAGTCACGCTGAAGTTGCAAACGAAGCAAGGAGGGGCTTTCGGGAGGGAGAGGGCAATGTCATATGCTTCTTATTCTCAAGTGGTAATTAATTTTAACTGCAGGCAAATCTTTGAAGATATATTTTAATGCTTTTGTCATAGTTTCTTGAAGTGGTGATTAATGAATGTGTGTAGCAACCAAAGCACATTAGCTGGTTAGCGATGGGAGATGGGGCATCTTCGTGGACCACTCCAAGTTCCGACAAGTCTCAACCACTTGAGGATCACAGTTCATCAGTAAAAATGAAGAGAAAAAACAAAGCCAGGGGAAGCAGCAGCAGCAGCAGAAGCACATCAGGAAAAGAAACAAGAAAGGGGCGACTTCTCACGCACACATTCCCTGATGATGATGATGAAGATGATGATGACCAGAGTTCAGAATATCCTTATGATGATAGAGCAACCACCACCACAGACTCATCCTTATTGTCATCAACACCCGAAACTCTGGGGTCAAGTGAAGAAGTAAAGAGACATAGCCATAGCAGCAGGCCAAGCTATATGAATCTGACAGAGTCTGTTAAGGCCAAAAACAAGCAGAAAGCTTCTTCTATAGCAGCCAACAATTTGCAGCAGCCCCATACAACAAAGACTACTGGCTCGCCCTTCCGTGGGGCAAGGAGAAATGCTGATCATAATAATGCTAACCTCTATTCCCTTCATACTTGCAAAGACTTTTATGTGCTCATGAAGAGTCCTTCCCTGAAACAAGAATGACTACACTGCATGCTCTAATTAAAAGGGTTCATCAATATCTTGTTGTCTAATTTCTATGCAAAGAGTGACGTTCGTTCTCTGATCTACGGTTTTGTTGTGAAGCACACCAGAGAAGTGTGTTTACAAGTTGAGCTGAGTATATTTGTATATATAAATACAGTGCAAGACACAGATATACACATTATATTGCCATCAATGAAGCCATTGTTACTCATCTTAATGTATTTTTTTAAATAAAAAATTCCCTACTTTTTGTAATAACCTGAGACGATAGTTATTTTGAACCGGAAGGAAATGTTTTTGTGAAAGCGAATGAAATAAAAACATGATCTTGGTTGTTGGAGTTGATCTTCTGATGGCCCATTTTGATGCACATGTGCTCTCTATTTTTCTCCCTCTTGAGAGATAACACTGATAATTGATAGTTGGCATAGCAAAAGTGAGTGAACCAGCATTATTACAATATGCAAATATACTTCTGAAATAAAACTCGGGTCTACTCCTTTGACACTCTCTACCTTTGCCAACTGAGCAATGCCCTTTTACCTTCTCAATGCATAGCATCACTGCACGCTAAAACCCTCACTCCACAAGTTTACACAGTCACACACACACACACATATACTCCCTCCGTCAGGAAATAATCTTCCCATTTGACTTTTCACGGTTAAAGTTTGTAAACTTTGACTACGATATGTGAAAAATATATATTGTGTTATGATATAAATTTAATATCAATATATTTTTATTGAAATGTAGTTTTGAAATATCAAATTATTGTAAAATATATCTATGTATAAATATATGTACAAAATTGCAGTTTATCCTTCATCTTTTTTTCATTCTTTTTTTCTTAAGCATAGTTATTCCTTAACTCTTTTTTTTCTATTTCTTTCTTATTTTGTTTTATTTATTTCTTTATTTAGACATGATCGAGAATCCAAACTTAAGTGCAATATTATGCGGGGTAGTAAAATGTTTTGACCATGTCTGATCTTTTCTTTATTTTGACTATATCTTTTATACTTTAATTTAAGTAAAATTTGCATTGAATAGGACTAAAACATAAGTCATTTCTCAATGTAAGGCTTAAATTTTTTTATTTCCTAAATAGGACAAAATAATGACTAGTGACTAGAATAATGTCCTAAGTGATGCTGGATATTTAGTTGAATATTGACTAATGGATAATGACTAATGGTCCTACATTGAGAAATAAAAACATATGATCCTATATTGAGAAAGTTATTATCTTTTAGTCCTATTTAAGTAAATTACTCTTCCATTAATTCACACATGAGATTATTATAGCGGAATGTTGTTGTTACGTTGTTGGTTGGAGAGCGAATAAAAATGAGGTATTTAGGAGGCTAGCTATAGTCATCGGAGATTGATAGATAGATAGATAGGGATTTAGGAGAGCAATGATATGATGTATCGTGAACTACCACATCATGATATCTTAATACCTAATATAGCTAGCTAGGGGTTCCCAGTTGGAATTGAAGAACAATGCTAAGATATATAATTAAAGAAAAGTAGAGTTATGTTCATACATACATACATACATACCGGAGTGGTATATGTATCATTGTGAATCCGATCGAATTCTATGAATGTGAGTATAGGTATGTGTGTGTGTGTGTATGATGAGAAGTATTTTAAAGAAAAAAAAGGCAAAAGAGGCAAGAAGAAAGGTACAGAAAAGGTCAAAAATCAAAACACATTCTCGCTTCAGAAAGAAAGAAAAGAAAAGAAAAAATGGGTACGTGAATAAGAGCTATTTTACACGGATTCTTCAAATAGGTGCCACTTCCAGTCGCCGAAACACTCCTATTCGGGTACTTGGGGTGCCCCACACTCATATCGTTTATAAATTTTGAAAATGTTTAGTGTGTCACGCTTCCGACCCCGTACCCGTATAAGTCCGTGTCTCCGTCCCGGTGGAACTTAGCTTAGAATAAGAGAACGTGGATGGAGCTAGCTATAGGTCTATATAGCTTGATTGGTGTTATTACGTAGTGGCATGCAGTAGGAGCTAAGTTAAGCCTGTGAGGGGAAGAAGAAGTACGAAACAAGATTCTTGATTTGTACTCGTTCTTGCTGTTGTTTTTTTAATCTGCACATGCAAACATTTAATGGCACTATGCTGTTTTGCCACATTTGGTTTGCCATCATACATGCATCACCCTCTACCTCTAGAATAGCCTTTGTTTCTTTCCCATTCTCGTCTCTCACCTCATTATTCAATCCAATGAAAAAAAAAACTCCAACAAATTAAATATTATTGCCAAAAAAACGATGAACTTCATTCTCGAGAACCCAGTAGATCTGGTCAAATGATCATCTAAAAGAGATAAATTGAGTTTTGATTGCAGACTGATAGCAAATAGTACGAAGAGTATACACAACTCAATATTACTACTAATATTATATGGGCAGGGTGCCATTAAATCATACAAACCTCATTTGACATAACACCGGTGTTATGTCAAAATTATGAGGTTTGTGTAATTTGGGACAAGAGGAGAGAGTACACTAATTGCTTCGTCCTAGAAAACTACTCCAAACAACATTAGCACTTCCAATTGAATATTTCCTTATAAAAAAATCAACCAAATTAGTAGTAAAACATATATACTATCTCCGTCCCAAAAAGATTTACACGTTTTGACTAAAGTTGAAATTAAGAGAGGGATAATTTTGTGTTGACTTTCCAAAAATACCCTTGATGTGATGGGCAAAAGTAGGATGCGATGTGTAGATTATTAGGAAAAAGGTATGATGTGATAGGTAGGGTTTGTAAAAGTAAGAGGTAAAAGTGATTTTTTAATAGAAATTGGTATGAGATTGTGAGACGCAGTTTTTCTGAAAGATGTAATTTTTTTGGGACGGATGGAGTATCTATTATCCCTAAAATAAAAGTGCTACATTATTATTATTATCAAAATATGACTTTGTAGTGTGACAATATAATATTGACAACACTTGTAGAAATTCTGGGAAAACTTTCTCGATTGATTCAATAGTTACAACGAGTATATATACAAAATACATTAGGGCTACAACTAAAACACTTGGGCTAGGCCCGTACATTATGAATGATAAAATATGTACAGCTAATACTCCCCCTCAAGTTGGCGCATGAAGATCTCGAATGCCCAACTTGGATAAGAGAAAAGAAAATAAAGGACGATTCAAGGCTTTAGTAAACAAATCCGCCAGTTGCAATCGGGTAGGAACATAAGCGGTAGTAATCTCGCGACGCTGAATACATTCTCGGACGATGTGGCAATCAATATCAATATGCTTCATGCGTTCATGGAAGACCGGATTGGCGGCGATGTAGAGGGCCGACTTATTATCACAAAATAATCGGGGGGTAGTTGGCGGTGTCACGCCGAGAGCACCTAGAAGTCCCCGAATCCAACGTACCTCGGAACATGCATTAGCCATGGAACGATATTCAGCATCGGCAGATGAACGTGAAACGGTGGTCTGTTTCTTTGTCTTCCACGATACGGGGGATCCACCAAGAAGAATAAAATAACCACTAACTGACCTCCGGGTGAGAGGACACGAGGCCCAGTCTGAATCACAATAAGCAGTCAATTGTAGTGAACTGTCACTACGAAGGAGTATCCCCTGCCCCGGATGTCCCTTCAGATAACGAAGGACACGACGTGCTGCATCCATACGGTCCAGGCGGGGATTATGCATAAACTGAGTAGGAGAGGTCTGGCCGAGTGATAGTGAGATAAATGAGACGGCCGACAAGACGCTGATACTGGGCCGGATCTCGCAGTGCGGCACTGATGGACCGGGCCAGGCCGTGATTCGGCACTATGGGGGTGTCAGCTGGCTTACACCCAACCATACCAGCTTCGTGAAGAATGTCCAATGCATATTTACGCTGACACAGAACTATCCCCTCCTTAGAGCGTGCACACTCGATACCCAAGAAGTAGGATAAAGGGCCCAAATCTTTCAATTGAAAGCACTGATGCAAATATGTCTTAAAGGATGCACAGAGATGAACATTGTTACCTGCAACCAAAATGTCGTCAACATAAACTAGAACAACCAGAATATCTGGGCCACGGCGATGAATGAATAAAGTATGATCAGCATGAGCTTGGCGGAAACCATAACAGCGGAGAGCACATGTCAGTTTAGCAAACCAGTTCTGGGGTGACTGACGAAGACCATATAGAGACTTGCGTAGACGACACACCTTGCCAGGATGGTTTTGGGCATACCCGGGGGTGGGCGCATATAAACCTCCTCTATCAGATCACCATGAAGAAAGGCATTGTTGACGTCGAGCTGGTGAACCTGCCACCCCTTCGCGGCTGCGACGGCTAGCAGCACCCGAACGGAACCCATTTTGGCAACAGGGGCAAAAGTATCTGTGTAATCTATCCCCAGCGTCTGATGATTCCCAAGAACAACCAGCCGAGCTTTGTCACGCTCCTTTGTACCATCAGAATTGAATTTAGTTTTAAAAACCCATTGACATCCCAAAGCCGTCCGGTCAGGAGGTAGATCCGTGAGATCCCAAGTGTGATTATTCTCCAATGCTTGAAGTTCCTTCAACATAGCCTCGCGCCAGTTGGAGTGTGGGGCGGCCTCGGCATAGTTCCTGGGTACAAAATGGGGACTGATGGCCCCCAAAAATCCTTGGTACCTGTCACTGAGGTTAGAATAACAAACAAAGTTGGCAATAGGATAATGTGTACCTGAAGACGAAGAGCGAGCTGGAGAGGCGCACAACGGAGCATCAGATTGAACGGAATTAACGATATAATCACTAAGGTGGGCAGGCTGACGACGCTGCCGTTGAGGACGAAGAGTAGGCACGGCAGCTGTATCAGTGGTGGTGACTGGGTTGCCCTCGCCGATGGAGGTACCCTCGGTTTGAGAAGGCGAGACAGTGGAGACGGGCAACTGGGCAGTGGCGGGTAGGACAGTGGTGGCTGAAGGAAAATCTGCATGGGGAGGGTTTTCGGCAGGTGGTTGTTCGGTGGAGGTGGGGAGCACGGCAAACGGGAATTGTGTTTCGTCAAAGGAGATGTCCCGAGTATGAAAGAAACGGTGGGTGTCAAGATCATAAACACGTCAACCTTTGGTGCCAGTGGGGTATCCGACAAACATGCATTTGGTACTACGCGGAAAAAATTTGTTCGAGGTAGGTAAACGAACAAAACATAAACACCCAAAAATACGCAAGTGACGAAGATCAGGTGTTTTCTTATTGAGAACCTCAAAAGGAGATTTACCGCCAAGAATTGGACTCGGAGTACGGTTTATGAGGTAGACCGCGGTACGCACGCACTCCCCCCAGAATTCAATTGGAAGACTGGCCTGGAACATGAGAGCACGGGCGACATTGAGAATATGACGGTGCTTGCGTTCAACACGCCCATTTTGTTGAGGCGTGCCGACACAGAAAGTTTGAACAAGGACACCCATGGATAAATAAAAGGCACGAAGAGGTTGATTAACAAACTCGGTTCCATTATCAGAACGAACAACCTTAATAATTTTATGAAATTGGGTGTGGATCATGCTGAAAAATTGTTTTAGGCAACTTGTCACTTCAGATTTTTCCTTAATCAAATAAGCCCAAACAGCACGAGAATGATCGATCATCTACAATAGTAAGAAAATAATGTGCACCAGTAGCCAAACACGGGGTGTAAGGTCCCCATAAATCACAGTGAATTAAATCGAAAACACTAGTAGCTTTATTTGAATTGATAGGAAAACTACTACGAGTTTGTTTCGACTGAAAACAAATTTCACATGATTGTAATAATTTAAGTTTGGAACTACTGGGAACAGGGATAATAGAAGACAAAACTTGAGGTGAAGGATGGCCCAAACGCTTGTGGAGAAGAATAGGATCCCCTTGACTAGCAAACGCCGGACTGGACGCACGAAACAGAAACACTCCGTTGTGAGCGCTACCCCGTCCAATCAAAATCTTCGTGGCACAGTCCTGTATAACACAACAATGTTTGTTAAAAATAACCGTACAAGCATTATCCCGAATAAGACAGCCAATAGAAATAAGATTGCATTTGAGGTTCAGAACGAGCAACACGTTCCGTAAAAGAACCTCCGGTGAGAGACGCACGTGCCCACAACGGGTGGCGGTAGTATGAGAACCGTTAGGCAAAGTAATGACACATGGCGTGATTGGCACTATATCAGACAAATATAAGATGTTACCGGTCATATGATGCGAAGCCCCGCTATCAAGAAGCCACTCACGGTTGGATGTCTCACCACCCGAGCCAGTACCCTTGTCGGAAGAGGACGTGTCAAGCATGGATAATAGACGCGAGACCTGGTCTGCGGTGAGGCCCAACGGGCTGTTCGGGGCAGCTGCCCCTCCTGCGGCATGGGCTCCCCCTGTCGCCGGACCTGCTCCTCGCCCGGTTGAGGAACTGCCGCCAGTAACCCCACGGCCGAGTCCTCTGCCCGAACCACTGCCACGACCAGAGGCTCCTCCACGGCCACGACCCTTTGCGGGTGGATAACCGTTCAGTTGATAACACCTTTCCTTCGAGTGCCCGTCTTTCCCGCAATGAGTGCAAGAGTACGTGGGATGGTCTCCACGACCGAATGGGACGCTTGGGCGCTGCATGGCGAAAGCTACAGCATCGGTCCGATCATCCCTACCCCGAACGATATTTTTATGACGTTCTTCTTGAACAATCAACGCGTAGGCCCGGTGAATATCGGGAACGGGTTCGGTAGCGATGATTTGAGACCGGATGTGACCAAATTGTTCATCATCAAGACCTAGCAAAAAATGATGTGTCTTCTCTTCCTCTTCTCGAGCTCGGATACGGACTGCCGATTCACAACGACAACCGCACGTAGCGTCGGTCGAACCATACAATTTGTTCCAAAGAGTCACAAATTGGTTGTAATACACCACCACTGTTTGACCCTTTTGTCGGAGAGATTGAAGTTCTGATTTGAGTTGATGGACCCTAGGGCCGTTCGACCCACCGTAGCGAGTTTTCAGATCCAGCCACAATTCATGAGCCACTTTGTGAGAGATAATCGACGGTTGAATGTGTTCATCCACACTATTGCATATCCAGGAACAGATGATAGAATTGTTTGCTTTCCAAGCCGCAAGTTCTTGTTCGTCGGTGGGCTTGGGGAAACCCGTGGGGGTCAAGAAACCAGCCCGGCTACGTCCTTCCAAGGCGTTGACGATGGTTTTCTCCCACACATCATAGTTATCTCCCTTGAGCAGGTGTTTTGTCAGAGAATTCCCGGCACTTTCGGACGGGTGAATGTAATACAGAGATGTAGGATCGTGAATCAACCTAACCTTCTTCGTAGTTTCGGTTGTCATGGCTCCAAGAAAAACAACGGCTGGCAACAAAGTACACCGGCGTGAGACGGTGCAAGGGGACGACGCAAGAAATCTGCCGACGTGAGGCGGCAGCAAAGGCGACCGACGTGAGCCGGCGGGAGAAAAGCGATTACCGACGTGAGTCGACGAGATGAAATACGGCGCTAGGGTTTTTCGGAACTAGGGTTTGTGTTTTGCCCGGGAATTGGCTCTGATACCATGTAGAAATTGAGGGAAAACTTTCTCGATTGATTCAATAGTTACAACGAGTATATATACAAAATACATTAGGGCTACGACTACAACACTTGGGCTAGGCCCGTACATTATGAATGATAAAATATGTACAGCTAATAACACTGACATTGTAACTGCTCGTCATGTGTGCATCAGTTGTCCCGTGACAAAAGTTTGAGCCAAGTCACAATCGAATATCGTGGGCATTTGTGTATGTTGAATGCCCTATAAGGCTAAGTTATGCACCTTTTCTAACACCAATTGGTTTTAGAAGTGTGGGTAACACCTGAGGTTCTACAAGTGTATCAGAGCAAAGGTCAAGAGTTCTATTCCCAACGGGAGTAATTGCTAAGGGGGATATTGTTGGTCATGTGTGTAATTCTCTATGTTTTAATAAATTAAAAAATATCTATGAGAAAGATTTTTTGAGATGGGTGAAAAAAAGAAGAAAAATTTTATGGAACTGAGAGAATATCTTACATTTTCAATTACTTTTAAACATACTCTCTACTTTTTTAATTACTTCCAAAATTTCTTTAATCTCTATAATAAATCTCAGAGGAATTTACGTAAATAGCATTAAATAAACCATAGTGACTTTCCCTAAATGACATCACATGTATTTTTTTCCCAATCTAGCACTTTTAGTCATCATCCATTACTCATTATTCTAATAAATGTTCGTTATCACTGGACATTATAGATATTATTAAGTGCTATTTAGAGAATAAAACAGATCAAGTGCTATTTAGGGAAATCACTTATGTTTAAATGCTATTTAGTGCAAATATTTCATAATAAATCTCATGTACTCTTAGGCATGGGACGGATGGGAGGAAGTATGCTTTTAAACAAGTGCTCTCTCCTTTTTCTTATAATATTTTCTCTTACGTTTTTTGTTTTTTCCCAAAACACTTGTACTTTCTATTAAAAAATTATTTTTACTCTTGTTTTTTCTTATCTTATCTATTGGATCATACTTTTTTTTACTAATTATCTACTCATGACATCTTATTTTTACTCATCACATCAAGAGGAAAATTAGAAAGTCAACCATAAATATACATTCCTGATTTTAGCTAAAAGTCAAAATATGAATGGTTTATTGAAACAGAGGGAGTATTTTATGGAGTTGTTGAGTGACCCTTACTTTTTCTGTTATTCTCATTTGGAAGAATATGCTAGATCTCAGATCATTTCTTTTAAAACATTTATTTGTAAATTGATATAGAAATACAAACTAAAAGTTAGACATTCAAAAGTTAAAACAACATCAAAAGTCTTACATAAAAGAACATAACAAGAATTTTATTTTGTCAAATACTGAATATTGTAAATATACATATGTATAAGTATAAGTTATCGAGAAATCGTAATAATAACTAAGAAGTATAATTTGGAACAGAGGAAGGATTTAACTTTGTATACATGCTAGTATGTATTATGCCTTGTTTATTTCAATTACTAACAAAAAAAGCGCGCGATTAGATTCAATGATGCATGTATAATCAGATCTTGCTCATCATAACCCTAAAATTAGAAGACATGTAATGATAATGATAGATAATGATTAATTAGGAAAGATAATTGTCATCTAGTCCCTCCGCAATCGCATATTGGAGTTGTTCAATGGTCATACATATAGGTTATAGCATCCTCCACACAAAAATAATTTTTTGTTAAGAGTTACAAAATTTGACTAAAATTGTTTCAATTTTATTTATAAGAAAAGTAATATAAAATTTAAAAATAAAATTTATACAAAAAGAATACATTAAAAGTTTTACGTACAAAACAAGAGGTGACATGATAATACATAATACAAAGATGAAAATAAAAGTGGTTAAAGTTTGACATTTTGAAAAAGAAATAGTTGCACTAAATAACATTAAAACTTAAGTCATTTTCCTAAATAGCACTTAAACTGTTTTATTTCCTAAATAGCACATAATAATGTCCATAATATCCAGTGATGTCAAATATTTACATGAATAATGACTAATGCATAATGACTAAAAGTGCTACTTTGGGAAGAAAAATACAAGTAGTGCTATTTAGGAAAAGTCATTATGTTTTAGTGCTATTTAAGTAAATTTTCCTTTGAAAAAATGAATAGAATATTTTTTGGGACAGATGATGAATATTTTTTATATAGAATTTTCTAATAAACAATTAAATAATTTTAATTAAACATGTAGTAGTATTTTTTATATAATTTTTTATTAAAAATTAAATATTCTATATATTTTCCAATATTTATATATAATAATATTTAAATAAAATAAATTAAAGTAACTACCCTTGATATATAGAATATTGAGTACGTTGAGTAAGTATGAAAGTAGTAGTGCTTAATTATGAATTATCCCATAATTAAATATGATTAACAGGGGACCAAACTAAAACTGTTCTTTCACAACAACAACAACACGGTGGGTATAGTTTGCTTTAGCACATTCTTTTCCCAAAAATGGACTTGTATATTTCCATTTCCCATCAGTGATGGGCTTAATCAAGGCAAAAAACGTACATGCATTAACTGAGCTAAATGGCATTCATAATTATGATTCTTAATCAAAGACTGTTACAACCCTAGTCTTGTCCTTATCACGAGCTTCATTTATTCCTTAACGTGAATTGTACAAAAGAAACACAATTAATAGTCGAAAGAGATCTAGCCAGTCCAAGTCCATGTTGCCAGTTCACCAACAATTTAATTTAATTTAATTTTAATACGTATAATTGTGCATGCATGCCAATTAATTATCTTGTCCACTCACACTTGAGATCCGAATATATACTACTCCTCCGTAATGAATTTACATTATAGTTAAATTTTTATTTAATTACTGATGAAAAGGTGTTCTAACCAATTTTTCAAACGGATCAACAAATCAGAAATTTGCCATGATTGTTTTTTTTTGCATGTAGAAACAAGCATGCGGTAAAGTTTTAGGCTAAAGAGCTCCCTACATAGCGTAATATATGAATGTTGTAGTGACCAATTTTCAAACGATCACTCTAAGGGCAATGGAAATACGTTTGAAGGCCCGGAGCTTCAAAGTTTCTCTCTGCCACGTCAGCTTTAACTTACACCTAAAATTCACTGGAAATGGGTTTGAAGCCTCGGGGCTTCAAACTGGGGCTTCAAACCTTCATTTTTTACCTTTTTAAATATACATCTTCTAAAATTAAATTAATAAAATGTAATTAATTTATTATTTAATTATATTGAAACACGAATAATAAAAAAATACATTCATTAAATAAAAAAAGCGACAATAATTAAAAAAAAAGATACATAAATAAAAAAAACTAAGGTAAATTATATTTCTCCTTGATCTCTCTTATTCTTTGCTCGTAGATCATTCGTCTAATCTTCGACAACGTCCCGGGGTCGGTTTGCATGACTTTCATCTCGGCCTCCTGCTCCTTTAGCTTCAACTCCTTCTCCTTTAGCTTCAACCTCTCTTGTTCTCGGAGATTGAACGCCCGAAGTTGTTCAACCATTTCCCGGCCGATTTCGTCGCGAGAAGAAGCGGAAACAGAGGCGGACCCTCCCGAACCAGAGGCAATGGATTTTGCCTTCTTTCTTCCAATCGGCCGTGGAATGGGGTCCTCGTCATCGGAATCCGCAACGTTGAAGGGAGGGATTTGATCGGTTGAACTGATAGTCTCGTCGACCTCAACCTCGGCGTCGACGGTGGATCTTTTCCGGAACGATCTGCCGTCGGGATTGTTGAGTTGTTGCCACTTCGGGGAACGACTCAAAATCCTCCAAAGATCGATGGACACCTTGCCTTGGTGCCCGTCGTCTTGATACCGGGTCGTGGCAAGCCGGAGAACATCGACATCGTTCGTACCGCTCCTCCGGGACCGGGAGCATTCCTCGTAAACTCCGATAAACTTTCGGACTTTACGGTTGATGTGGCTCCATTTTCCAGTGAGTTGGTCCCGGGTTCGGTAGGAGCCGTCCTTGTTCATCGCCGTGAAAAACTTCTCTTCGATACGATCACACATCGCATCCTTCGTTTGCTCCGAACCTTTAAAAATGTATTACACAATATTTTTAGACACCATTAAATATAATATATATAAATAAAAACATAAATATATTAGAGAAAATAAATTTTTTACCAATGATAGGATGCTCGGAGATGTCAACCCAAGCCGACACCAATATGCACTCCTCCTCCGGCGTCCACTTTTGGATTGACTGTGCCGCCTCGGTCAACGTGCTTTTGGCTTTGTGGCTCTTCCGGCGTGTACTTTTTTTCGACCCGGACGGTTCCGGTTGAGTCTTTGGAACCGAATCTCGATCGACGTACCCCGATTGTTGCGTCTCGTAGATCAGCGATCGATCGCCCCACTCTTGGTACAACCACATCGCGGCGTCGCTCGGCGGGAGATCGTCGGGAAAGAAGCCGGAGCCGGAAGGATTCATGTTGAAAAGAGAGGGGGTGATTTCGAATTTTAAAAATTGGGAAGAAAAAGAGATTGAAGATGGAGAAGTGTGAGAGATTGGGAGAGGGGGGGGGAGTTTGAATTTATAAGAATTTTTTTTTGTTTTGGGGGGGGGGGGG